TTTCCAATCTTTTCTACTTCTTCTTCTTCTTCTTATCCTCTCCATCCTCTCAAGTTCATTCATTTCCTTTTGCAGTTGGTGAACATTGTGCTGATTGGTGAATTTGTACTTCGCAATTGGTCCGGGTCATCACAAATCAATCAATCAATCAAATCTTTTTTTTTTTTTTTTTAACTTTTTCACTCGTTTTAAAACTTTTAATGTTTCTTATTTGAAAAATATATATATAAGAACGAACCAAGAAAAAATAAAAAAATTATGGGGTCAAAGAGCTTTCTGTGCTCTACAACCCCGTATTTTGTATTTTTATTTTTTTGCTTATTTTTTGGCACGGGATGCAGTATAGTATGGCCTTAGTACGAACGGCCGTACTATCGGACCCCCGTACGACGTACGGAGGAATACGTAGTCAAAGACTTCGAAAAAAAAAAAAAAGGACAATGAGAAGTTTCTCGCAACAAACTACGGAAAACGACCAGTATGAGCATTAAACAAAGAAAAGAACCAGAACACACATTACCTGCAGCCGATGGAAGAATCCTGCAGTCACCATTGTCTGCTTCTTGTCTTTGCATTCAATCTGATATCCAAAAAACTGGCCTTGACGTTCCTGTTCATGCCCATTTTTCCTGTCCACTTTCCAACTAATCATGTCCCCATCTGGACGATCAGGAAGGCACGATGGTATCAACAGGCTGCTCTTGGGATCGTCACAGACCTTAAAGGCAAGCTCCATTCTCAACATCAGATTTACTACATCCTGCACACCAACCTCACATTTCCCCGAAACAGCTTCTGAGAACACACGTTCTAAAAGATCCTCATCAGCGATCCCATTGAAGACTCCACTGGCATGAAATTCGGTTGGGATGAGCTCACCAACGAAACTGCAACAGAACCACTGGGGGTTCACAATTACAAATGGCATTGGCTCGAACCAAATAACTTGCCCGATGTCATGGAGATAGCTCACCATGACTTTCAGGAGGAGATTGCCATCCAACGCAGTCTTACAAGGTCCCGATAATTCTGCTCCACTGGGACTTCTCTCCTGATGCTGGCCTGCAATTCTCAATGGCCAGCAGACTCAACGGAACTGTGCCCAAGTCATAAGCGGAATTCTTGATCCACTGGACTTCACCACCAACGTTTGCACCGTCTCCATGATTTGAAATACATTGGTACTATCAAGAAGCGCCTTGGCCTTGCTGAACACAAACTTCTTGACTTTTTTTGCATCGTCATTCTTTCTCGCATCGATAAGGATTACCTCATCCACAATATCAAGTGTCTCGTGAAAATCCTCAGATATCCAGCGGACCACCTTATCAGCCCGAAGGTAAAAATCATACAACTTTTGTTTCTGAGTCAAGTGGGGATTGCACACTGGAATCACACAAGGCTTTCTTTCCGCTTTGCAGTTTGTCGCGATGAATCTCAACCAATACCTCAGTCGTTGAACTTCCGCAGCCGAGCTGTCTCCACTTGAGTTACCAGCAATTACTTGCCCGCATTTGACCACCGGATTAAATAGAAGCAAGAAGATGGGTGGAACTGCCATGTCCCCTCCTAGAGTTGGCATGAACAGATCATGGATGGTGTGGTACTCGGGTTGTCCACCCAAGTCCCAGAACTGGATGTTGACCCCTTTCGATGCGACATGGACCATCTCAATGCCCTTCGTTCGAGGTTTGGCAGACCGATCACCAGGTGCCATCTGCTTCATCACTTCTATCCAGTACTCCCATGTTCCACGGCAAATGGAATCCTTCAAGGTCGACTTACCCACATGAGGTTCACCCGCCAAAAAGCATCTGATGTGGCTGCTGGTAGTGCGTTCCAAGCCTCCACCAGTCTCAAGCAACTGCCGTTCAGTCTTGTTTCTTGACAACTTACGATTAATAGTTTTGTCAGAGTCATAATTGAAAGCAAACTCCTGAAGTGTCTTATTGGACTCCAAGGTAGAGAGCATCTCTGCCCTCAATTCAGATAGGAGTGTCTTAGTTGCTATATGGTTAGTTCGTAAATCGAGCTTTTCTAGACAAACATTACTCCGCAACCCTTTCACAATCATTTTCATGTCCGACTCAGTGCCTTCTTCAAAACTAATTTCCAGTTTCTTAAGACTGTTGTTTGTTGCCAGCATGGCTGCAAGGGCATCTATCCCTTCCTGGCTAAATAGCATTTGGTTGAGGAGGCTCACATCTTTGAGTTGAGATCTTCTTCGCACTCGCTGCCCTTGGAGCCCACTTTTCATTTCCAGGGGTGTGACCAACGGTTCAGCAGGAGCATCACCATCAAAGCCTATGTTCATAGATGCAAGGCTTTTGGCTAAAGTGGTGAGTGCCCTTTCCGGAACCCACCAAAGCTCGCAAGACTGTAGGCTCTCACTAGCCAGCAGAGCGTGGACTATGTCGACATACATGTCTTCAAAAGCTTCGCTTTCCATGTACTCAAAATAATCAAGTCTGAATTCCAGCCTTTCTAATGAATGGGCATTGGAAATCATACCTTGAATCAATGTCGCACACTCATTCCCAACACTGCCAAGGCATATTCGAAGGCATTTAACGCCACAGTAGGGCTGCGGAGAAAAATCAGAGAGAATTCGCAAAAAACGGGCAGGTTGATCCAAATAATCCAGACCGCTGATTTGGATTTCTTCAAGGGAAGCAATGGAGTTACCACCTGAGGATAATGCTTTTGCAAGAGACCTCAGAAAACCCTCGATGACCGATATATTCGGATTGTTGGAACGGGGCAGCCATGATTTTACAATGTAATGGAAATCGAAGTCAAAGTACTCAAATGAGCCGATGTGCTCGGCTAATACGCTCAGCATATGCAGCCACAACTCCGCCTCCCTACCAATGGCATCGTCACCTATTGAAGCCACAAACCGATCAAAACAGCTTTCGAATTTGAAGCTACGAAACCTTTTTTCACTGGCTGCAAACTCCTCAACAGTCAAGCGGACATGATCCATTAGCTTCTTGTCATGTTCCTCGGACATTTGTTTGGGTGTCAAAAACTCACTACTGTCCATAGCTGCACGGTGTGAAGTATCCTCCAAACTTTTTCCTTAGTATTTTGAATCAGAACCCAAAGCGAAGAACCTCCGTCTAAGCTCGTGGGCACCGGTAGAGTACTCTCAGACTGACACCTTCAGCCCCACATACCTGGAGAACCAAGCACTCATCTAGTCCTGTAATACCAACAAGTACAGCTGCCTAGCACTCTTTCTCACACTAAGAAGATTGTTGCCACGGTTTTGCATAGTTTTCCGTAATCTGGCAACTTTATGTTCTATCGCTTCTCTCAAGGAAAAGGATCTCTCCAAAGAGGACTGACAAGAAAGAAGTTATAGAACTCAGTACAGGTCACTCAGGTCATGTGCCCCACACTCTAAGAGTACTCTCCACGGACTGCCTGCTGTGACTATTACAACACGGAAAGAAAAGATCACACAAAATTGATCTGATAAACTGCTCTAGAAGAGAGAAACGTGGTAGGACTGGCACAGGCTGGGGCCACCCAACCTCGTGACGATGAAGGGTACACACACACACAATTGTGCTAATAAACACACATGAGGTTGAATCCTGATGGGATCAAAAGAATACAATAAGGTCTCCTAACTCCTTTCATAAGAAAGGATTTATTCGGGGAAAAAAAAGGTTTAGAAAACCCAGGATGAGGTTGAGTGAGCTGTCTGTCTAGCCATGCTAAATGACTGGCAAATCTGAAGTCAAGATTCTTTCAGCATTTGACTAAGCTAGAGCTTAGGACTCATCTCTCCTTCCTGCATTTCCGAGTAGTGGAACAATATCTGCGCATGCATGGAAAGCACAAAAAGACAAGGGTGATCACAATTAGGTAGACAGGAAGACACTTCTGAGAAGTCCGTATGAATTACCGCTAGGTGTTATCCTGCAGCCCCTGCTTCTACCGTCCTCACCGAGATAGAACGCCCGCTCATTATCGCGGTATCTAGACTGAAAGTTGCCTCAAATACAGCTCTAATGACCGGGCATTGGTAGATTCCGATGAAGGCAGTGACTCAGTGACTGCAGTCTCGGACTTGGTTTGGTGGCAGTCCAAGGGTTTACTTTCGTTTTTTATCCAGACCAGGCCAGGCATTCCAAACCAACCAGCAAGACCTACACTACCCCATGCGTCCACTGGCCCCTTCCTTATTTGAATGTGCAGATGTTCTAGACCTGACATATTTTCACTGCCCCCGCCCACCTCCCCGGGTTCCCCAACCCCACCCCACCCCAAAAAGAGAAAACAAAAAACTTTATTAAAACTCATTCTCTCATTTTCTTTTACTTTAATCATAAAATAAGTTACTTTTGAGCATTAGATTTCGTTGGGATTTGGAAGTCATTGAAGTGCTTCAAAGCGTAAATTGAATAATTTTTTGATAGACTAAGTGAGCTCCTCACAAATGGAAAGGAGCCACCTCAGCGTCCAAAAATACAAAAAAAGAAAAAAGTTAAAAAAACGTTCATCGTTCATAGTAAATTCGACAAACGAAAACAACATTTGACATGCACCATCTGTTTGAAATTTTTATTTTCCTGAATTACTTGGGGTTGGTCATGGTGGGACGGAGCTGTACTGTTGATGTATTGAGAATCTAAGGGTACCGAAATACAGAAGAATAACCTATTAGATTTGTTCATTTTGTAGAATTTTTCTTTGACGTGAAATCTGTTTTGTGGTATGCGTTGGCCCTTTTGGTTTGGGCGGGAAGCCATTTTCCATTGAGAAAACTACCCCACCGAGGGTAGGGTACATTTCTCAACTTATTTGCCTTTCGTTTTTTTTTTTTTTTTCCAGATATCATTACACCCTGAAACGGAGGAACGCTGACAGCTGTGTTTGGCTCTCTCGCATCAAACTCTCTTCCTTCTTTGGGCAATGAACGCATCTGGCCATCGATGTTGTTCCTGTCCATTTTACGAATGGTGACCTCCTGTCCCCTCACCACGGGAAGTACCCTTTTTCCACGGAGACATTCACTCCGACTGTGCCAGACGTGGTTTTTTTTTTTTTTTTTTTTCCCCCCCCCAAAAAAAACACGGGCCCGGTGCCCAAGGCTTATATTTCCAATTGAACTCAACCGAGGCCGGGGTCCTCACAGTCTACCCGGATGGTCACCTCTGGGAGCATTACCCAGTTTCGCTTACGGGGAAAGACCCCGCGGGGATCCACCCCAAAGTGAGTAAGATCTTATCAACATATGAAGCTCAGGCTACTACTGTTGCCTGTAGGACACTGGTCCTCCCCTAACATGGGGAGGAGGAGCATAGCGCTCCGAAAAACAGGATCGGCACTCCAACCTAAACCCCCTTCCACCACTTACTGCCCTCCTACAGAGAAGTCAAACCGAGCGCCCAGGTTCTTACTCATTCGTTACCAGCCACTCATCCAACACCAACTTTCCGCCTTGAATCGTAGTCAGCCGTCCCTGTAGAGCCCATGTCTCCATGAACCAGGACACAGACGTGTTTCATTTCTCCGAGTTACTTCATCAAAAATAAGGAGAGAAAACTGTTTGTAGCGTTTTTTTGTTCAGTTTTTTAATTTTTTGTTTCGAATTTGTTAATGTCAAAATGGTGTCACACGGTTGCGTTTTCTAAACTAAGGGCACGCTCACACTGGGTACCAAAACCGTAAAACTCCCAAAAAAATGTGCACACGGCTGGTCACACACAATGGTTCCGACCCCAAACACCCCATTCGCAAACGCATTTGTCAGCGGCCTGCCTGGCCGCGGGTTTGAGGAATTTGCGGTAACCTCCAGAGGTTACCGCAAAATCCTTATTCTTTTTTTTTAAACATTTTCGTAAATGAGTGCAAAGTTGAAAAGGGAACATGTACGTTCTATATTTGGGGTTACTTCTGTGTGACTTGAAACCCCAAACAGCAGCACCCTGATGGCACGGTAGCGACCGTATCTTTAGCGAAATGGGAACGCGGTGTGAACGCAGTGTGACCTGAAACGTCCCAAATACCCCAATTCGGCCCAACCCATTTTCGCAATTTATACGGATTTGCTACCGCAGTGTGAGCGTGCCCTAAACTTGGGTGGTGAGACTTCACCCCAAGTGCCAGCGGTGACTGCTTTTATCAGCATCACTATCACTGGCGGGGGTCTTTGTCCAAAAAAAAA